TTGATGTGCATATGTCTAATGATCATTTTGACCGCCAAATGGCATTTTTTTACTTTTTTTGTTAGATCTCCGAAACCGCTAGACCGCCTTTATGAAAATTTGATCAATTCTTCATCTTGTCAATACAAGTCAAATGTTTTTTGAATTATTAAAATCGGACGCTCCGTTCTCTTAAAAAAACTGAGTTACCGTTTTCGGCACTTTTTGCCCCGTATCTTTAGAACGGCTGGACCTGCCTTCGCCAAAAAACTAATCAGCACGTCTCCTTATCTAATCAGCACGTCTCCTTATCAATACGAATCGAATGTTTTTTGAATTATTAAAATCGGTTGATCCGTGTTTCCGAAATCGTCGACGAAAATTTGTATCCGCACATACATACACACACATACATACATACACACACACACACACTTACACACACACACACACAACACACACATACATCCATTTTTTCTAAGGTATGCCAAAATGTTAAGGAACCTCTGAAACGTAAAGATATATAAAAATTTTCATTTTCGATTTTTGCGATTACTATAACTTACCCTACGGGAAGTTAAAAATACAATTATTATACATATAATATGGATATATAACAATACATAGTATAATACATATTGCACTTAAAAACACAAAATTGTATAATACACAATGTAACAATATTATTAAATTAAAAAAATAGGATAAAATAATAAAAGATATTTGAAAAGAAATAAAAAGTTTAACTTGAGCAGATAGAGATTATTTGATTAAGTTAGGTGTTCTGAATATCAATGTCATTAATAATTAAGCTAAAATTAGAGGACGTTAGTAGGATAGGCGAATTTAAGAGAGAATTAGATTTAGGAGTAGAATAATTGAAAAATAATTGTGAACGCAAAGATAACCTAGGAACATTAAACGATAGTTGGTTAAGAATCAGAGGACAGTAAGTATTATAACGTTAATGAATTATATAATTGTGTATAATATTGCAGAATGCATAAAGACAAACAGTTTTTAAATAACAGCTGATATAAGAAATAAATGATAAATGCATAAGTGAGTTATTTGTTAATAAATAAACAATTGATTAAAAACTTATTTACAATTTTCTGATAATTACAGTTGTTGAAAAGGGTTGTCTCTATTTTTACATGTACCTAGTGTTAGAACTGTCGAAATAAAGTAAGGATACCAAGTATGAAAAAAGTATCGATGCTAAAAAAGTATTGAATATTTTAAGAAATACATTTTAAGAATCATATTATAATACAAAAATGAATTGTAATGCTAGTATTCGATATGTACTCGTATTCTATTATGCAGATAAAATTTCAAAGCGCATTTTATATAAAATTTTCTATAGTTTTTGTTTATTTTTATAGTTATTAAATGATATTTCAAGAATATTTTAAAATCTGTTGTTTTAGGAAAATAGTTTTTGGCCATATAATATAGTTTTCTTCAAAGACGATATACCGATTATAGTAGACTTTGAACTTTTCGAAACTATTTTTGTAGTACGATTTGTACTCTGCCACAAAATTCGAATATCATCCCATCATTTGGCAAAAATTTGTTCATAGCGAGCATCCTTTTGAGATCTGAGAGCAGGATGTAGTCGCTGGGGAACAGATTTAGAAAATATAGCGAATGATTAAGCAATTCGAAGTCGAATTCATGTTTTTTTGCCACTGTTTTCACGGATTTATGACTTGGTGCGTTGTCCTGATGGAGCAGCACTGATTTTCTTTTTTAAATAGGACCATTTTTTCAATTACAATTTTTTAATGCTACATTAACGTTATTTAATAATTACTGTTGATGGTCTAGTTTTTTCAAGATTATTGATAAAGATCATTACTTGCAAATCCCATAAAACTGAAGCCATAACCTTGCCTGCTGATTGTTTGCATTTTTTCTCCCCATCGTGCCTAGTACATTCGGATGACTGTCTATTCGACTGCGGAGTGAAGTGGTGAAGCCTGGTCACATCCATGGTTACATATTAATGCAAAAGCTCAATTTTATTTCGACTAAACAAACAAATGTGACACATTTATTCTCTAAGAAAAGTCTTATTCCATGAGGACATAACATAAAAAACGTGATTCAATTAATGCAAGTTCATATAGGGTTTAGCGTTCGACTTACGCATGACATGACGGGAGTGGATCGCGACTCGCGACATCTGCGCCTCTAGCGTCGTAGTGCTCAACTTCACGTTGGCGTTTTCGTTGCATTTGTACGGATTTACACCCGTGTCGCGCCTAAAGAAATTTTTACGCCCATATCGCGCCTAAAGAAGTTTTACTTCAAAAAATATAAAAATAGAATTAAGAGACACAGAACTATCCGACCACAAAATGCTATCAATATATGTACAAAATACACCAAAAATAAAACCCAAAATGCACAAAAAACCAGATACAGCATAAGACTAGAAGGACTAGAAAACACAATAGCTTGTAAATTAAACTCTAAAACAGTTAACACACTAGAGGACTTAATTTCAATTATACAAGAAGCAGCAAATGAAAATAAAATCAAAGAAACACTGAGAGCAAGAGAAAATACTTGGATAACAGAAGAAATTACAAAACTAATAAAATATAGAAACAAATTTTACATTGATATGAAGAAATGCAATCCGAATGAAGTAAACAAGTATAATATAATAAAAATAAAATATAATAATATAAAAAAAGATATAAAAAATATGATCTACAAAGCAAAAAGACAGTACTATCTAGAAGAAACACAAAAATGTGAAAATGATCCTCGGAAAATCTGGGAGCTAATAAACAAATCATTAAGGGGGGAAAATAATAAAAATGAATATAAAGACAGTATTAAAAAAATTAAACATCAAGATAAAAACATATTTCTTACGGAAAAGGAAAACATTGCGGAGTATCTCAATAAGCATTTTGCTGAAATAGGAACAAAACAACAAGAAAAACTAGATCAATGCAACTACATATCATCAATATCTAGACCTGAAAACAAAAAACAAAATTTTGAATTAACAAATGAAAAAGAAATAATAAAAATTGTGGAAAACCTGAAAAACAACGCTGCACCTGGAGAAGATAAATAACAGCAAGAATTATGAAAAAAATAATTTATCAAATAGCTCCTCTACTCACTTTTTTAATCAATAACTGCATAAAAAGGGGTACTTTTCCTTCGTGCCTCAAAACAGCCACAATAAAACCAATTTTTAAAACAGGAAACAAAACAGATCCGAATAATTACAGACCAATTACAATAACTAATACATTCTCCAAAATATATGAAAAAATAATTAAAGAAAGACTACTAAATTTACTCATTCAAAAATAGATAAACATCAATATGGTTTCCTCCCTTCATCAAATACTCAAGGTGCCCTAATAGATTTGACTAATACCATCAGTCAGCACCTTGAGGAAAATATGCATACAGCTGCAATTTTTATTGACTTACAAAAAGCTTTTGACACTGTGGATCATGGCATATTGCTCAATAAATTAATAGATTTGGGTGTAGTAGGTTTGTATTACAGCATAATTAAAGATTTTCTCGTGGAAAGGGTGGTAAAGACAAAGGTGGGAAATTTTACAAGTGGGGGACGTAGCATAACTTGTAGAGTCCCACAAGGTTCTGTTTTAGGACCTTTATTATATCTGCTATATACCAACAACCTAAAAGATGTAAAATTAAAGGGCAGATACATACTATATGCAGACGATACTGCCATAGTATATGCAGATAAGGACAAAAAAAGGCTCGAAGATACAATAAACACGGACATGAAAACATACACCGACTGGCTAATTGAAAATAAACTAAGAATTAACATCAATAAAACAAAATACATATATTTCAAACATAAAAAAAATACCGAGAACACTAAACTAAATATTAAAGTAAATAATAGAGAAATAGAAGAAGTGGAAAGCATAAAATACTTAGGACTGATAATAAATGAAAAATTGACATGGACAGAACATATAAACAAAATAAAAAGAAAAATAGGAACATTAACAGGGGCATTGAAAAGGATCCACTCTTTCGGCAAAAAAAATAAAATACTAATTCTTAAAACGCAAATATTACTTATAATTTTATATGGAATAACAACATGGAGCCAAACAACTAAAGCTAACTTAAATGACATACACAGAATAATGAATAAAGCCACCAAAATAGCATACAATTTTCCACATCTAACACCCACCAAATACTTACAAAGAGAAACAAATAATCTTTCACTAAATAACATAATTAAAATAGAGAAATGCAAACTAATACACAAAATGAAATTTAACCGAATTAAAACAAGCGCAACAATAAACACAAATCAAGATATACATGAACACTACACTAGACAACACAACAATTTTCACATTGAACACAATAGAAAGAAGAATTTCAGAGAAAATGTCATATGGAGTGCCAGCAAAATATATAACGAATTGCCAAACAATATTAAGATGACCAAAGATGACGATAAATTTAAAAGAAAAATAAAAAAACACTATAAGGAAATTGAAGACAAAGAAGACTGAAGAGTGATATAAAAAGATATTTTTAGTTATATATAGATATTATATTAATGAAATAGATTATTATAGTCAAATGAAATGTATATATTATATGAAAACTGTTTTCATAATCTCTCATACCAGGCAACTCTGCCTGACTGAGATATGAAAATAATGTATATATATAAGTTCTAATATACTTTAAACAAATATTTTCAACTTTGCAATTCAGTTTATATAATTCTTATAAATAATAGACAATGTTACAGTATTTATTTACTCGAACATTTTGTTACGGTAAGGGAATTTCCAGCAATTTGCCTTAAGGCACGATGCCATACATACCACTAGTTTTATTTCAAATTTTGCGCCAAAAATCGAGAAAGAGGGTGAAGTGATATGGAAGTGATTATTCTAGGCTGGTACTACTGGAACTGCAAAATGTCAAATGTCAAATGCTAGTGGTCACTTTATAAGCATCATCAATGTTTGATAGAGTTTTCCTCATAATATTTTGGTGATTACTGTGAGAATTCTGCAATGCACATATTTAAAACAGTGCAAATGGCTATTGAAAATCCTGTTTACGTGATTATGTTTACTCAGCGATTAATCTGTCGTGAAATGTATACAGTCGATACATTGCGGCATAAAGTAAAAATAAATCGTTTCACTCAATAAACTTTCTTGTTATATTTATACAACTGGAGTAATTTCTGGTAATACATTACATAGAATGTAAGATTTAATCTAAATACTGACATCGTATTTTTAGATTGATGACTTTTATTTGAACTCATATCATTGTGTTAATAACACTATCGCATTTTTTATAAGTTATGAAAATTTTGCTTTAGTGATATTTAAATTTTAACTTATAACAATGTCACAAAAACATTAAGAATAGACTAAATATTATATCTGTGTGCTATGGCTCATTCAAATATCCTATTATTTTACATATAACTCATTTTCTCACATTAGTTAATTTATATTAGGAATATTTATTTCGATTGTTTTCATTGATGACACCTCTACCAAATAATTATTGATATTACATATGTTAAAAGTATACAAAGCTAAACTAATTCGTATGGAAATCAATATCATTTTATATATTGTTTTTTACACTAAATTTACAATATGTTTTTATTTTGTTCAATGTAATTTTAGATCAGTCATGTCTGCTGATAAAGACAGGAAACGTGGCAATAGGGCACAAGGCTGGGAAGAGGCTGGTGAAGAATTTTATCGTGAAAGTTATGCAGGAGAATTTGATATATTACCCAAAGATCCCAGTCGTTTGACAACATTTCTTCCATCAAAAAAGAACAGATCTCGTAAGATCAATACTCAATATTTATAATGCAGTTATTTTATGGTTATCATACTCGAATAATTTAATATATGTAATTTATTTATTTTAGTTGCAAATAGACATAATGCATCTGGATCTACTTATCAAAGACATGGTTCAATCATTAGTGGTACCAAAAGATTTAAGGAATCCACGACCATTACTAGAAATGATGTACAGGTTGCTATGCTTCCGGACTTATCAGAAAATCTGACCGATGAAGAAAGGACATGGGAACAAATACAAGAAATCAAAACAATGCCTATATCAATGACACAAAAAAAGGAGCTGAGAACACAACTACAAAGTGCAGAGAAACTTCGTCTGCAAGGATTTGATCAAATTAGATGGCAGCAGAGAAAGCTATGGCAATTATTTGGTACAAAATTAAAATCAATGTCTTCTAAATTAGAACTATGGAAGTCTTCTATCAAAAGACTTGAAGGTAACTTTGGTACAGGGATTGCTGCCTATTTTGTGTTCATAAAATGGGTGATGTTTTTGAACCTAACGATTTTTTCTATAATGTTTTTTATGGTCATTTTGCCAAATGTTCTCTTGGAAGAAAAGGTGATTCAAAAATGTGATTACATGGAAGGAAATTTTACAGATAGTTGCTATGAAAATAATGTGAATATTTCATTGTTGTATACGCCAGTTTTAGATTTCATTCAAGGCAGTGGGGCAATTGAAAGAACTTTAATGTTCTATGGTGGTTATAATTATAATGATCAAATTAATAGTAGTACATTTGGAGAAATATATTTTAGTTATGATTTATCCTTAGCTTATATCATATCTGCTTTTGTAGCCTATATTGTATCGCTCATTGCAATTATGAGGTCTGCTACTTCAGGATTTAAAGAAAGATTAGAGAGATGTGAAGGACAGTTTTATCAGTATTGTAATATAATTTTTGTTGGCTGGGATTTCTGTATCCATAATAAAAAATCTGCAGCTATTAAACACAAAGCCATCTACAATGAAATGCATGTGTGTTTACAAAATGAATATTTTAATGGAGAGACAGATAAAAAGTGTAAGCTTATAATTATAAGATTGATCGCTAATTTTTTTGTTATAATATTATTGCTAGGGACATGTGTAACAGTGCACTTTGTGTCTGACTATTCTTACGATGTTCTAAATATGGAACAACTTTACTATGATACTGCAGATGATGCAAAAACGTTTTTTATTCAATTTTTGCCGTCATTCACTATTGTTTTCTTGAATATGTTCATACCTTTAATTTTCAACATAATAGTTAAGTTTGAACATTATTCTCCCATAGCTGTTATCCGCTTTACCTTACTTAGGTCAATAGTTTTAAGATTGCTATGTCTTGCCATACTTTTAAGTAGATTATATTTTCTTTTCTGTAGAGGAACCTCATTTTGTTGGGAAACATATGTCGGTCAGCAATTTTACAGATTATTTATAACAGATTTTACATTTCATATTATAGTAACATTCTTTATAAATTTACCTCGAAGTCTTCTAGTCAAAAGCGTGGATAATAACTTTACGCAATTTATTGGTGCACAAAATTTTGAATTGTCAAAACATGTTTTGGATATAATTTATGCTCAGACTTTATGCTGGCTGGGTTTATTTTACTCTCCTTTTTTACCTGCAATTGCAGTTTGTTATTGTTTTTTTATGTTTTACATAAAAAAATTTGCATGTTTTATTAATTCGAAACCTTCATATGTTATCTATCGTGCATCAAAGTCTAAGTCACTCTTTATGTTAGTTATTTTATTTAATTTTTTTGTAGCAATTATTCCGGTTGTATTAGCTTTAACTGAAATAGCCCCTTCTGAAAGTTGTGGCCCATTTCGAGGATTGTCATCTGCATGGCAAACTATTAAATTATCATTTATGGTTGTGCCTGAGAAGCTAAAAGATGTAATCATATTCTTCTCTACTATTAGTTTTACTATACCTGCTTTTGTAGCTTTGCTTTTGGTAGTTGGCTATTATAATATAGTTTACTCCATTAATAAACATATGGTGTTAGTGTTAAAGAAGCAGCTAGTATTGGAAGGTCATGATAAGCAGTTCCTATTAGATCGTTTAAGTTCATTTATAAAGCAACAACAAGAATACCAAAAAGATTTATCATAATTTATTTATTTAATTATAGTTTCATAGTTTTTTCTAGTCACAAATTAAATTTAATTTAATATAAAAAATTTTACTCATGTTATTAGTTTGTCACTTTATCACATAATTAAATGAACTTACATATATTCTTAGGAGATTTATACATATTACCTATGGAGTAGGATATTAGGACCAGATTTTTTGGAGAAATGAAATCTAAATGGAACAATTATTATTTTTACTGTGGTCCCAGAAATTATATTCTTGGTTACGGTTTCAAAGTTTAAATGAACAAAATTAATGAAAATTAATCAATAACCGAATAATGGTCACGGTTTAATCAAAGCTGTAGACTGTACTTAAACACTTATAATTTTCAAACTACACAAGATACTTTTTTTATGATATTCATGATTCATGCTATCGTTCCGTTTAGTCTAGATATTGAGTTCTGGGATACCCTATATATATATATATATATATATATATATATCTCAGGGGCTCAAATGCTTCCAAATTGATAAAATTCTCTAAAAGTTTTAAATCTTAATATTAACTTTAAGATAGTTCGCACTCCAACCAAAGTTTCTTATGGAAATAACATGGCTGAAATTGCTTTTGTTTTTCAGAATTTTAAACCTTAGCATCAAGTGAATCAAAATTTTGAATCTAACATTGTATTCGCTTATTTTGATCATTAATAAAAAAAATTACAACAAAAATTTAATATATTTTATAAACGTAGTATATACCAAGAAACTTTAGTTGGGGTGCAGACTATCTAAAAGTTAATTTAGCTAAAACTCGCAGTGAATTTTTGTATCAATTTGAAGAATTTGAGCCCTGGGAGCAAAGAAATTAAAAATGTATATATATATATATATATATATATATATATATATATATATATCTTGATAGTTTTTTCGACGTTGACAAATGGCTGCTAGTTACTTTGAAATATATATATATATATATATATATATATATATATATATACATATATACATTCTTGATTTATTATTCATGTATATACTCAAATTTTGATATTATACTAATATGTAATAGTTGACAAATATTCTTTTTTTTTATTTATTTAACTTATTATTTAATATTATATTATACTCATTATTTACAAATATATATTACTCGCTGTGTATGATTAAATAAAATTATATTTATTTATTATATTATAAATGCTAAGTGTTTTTAAGCTGTTACTCTTCCAAATATAGTATATAAACACAAATAATACTGTAATTAATTTCTAATAGTCTACTTACACTTTTAGTCTTTGACTAGACTTAATAATAAACAAATATTCAGAATTTGAATTCTGACAAGATCTTATTATGAGAAATCTTTACCATTATTATATGTATCATGCTTTTTTTTTTTTATTGGCTCTAAAACGAACTTTATATTCCATGATATATGTACATACATAATTTAATTAATTAAAACTAACTAATAATCTTTTATATATCAGTAGTTGTAAATAGATAGTGTATATGTTTAATATATAATATTATACAACATGTAACGGTAAAACATTCCTAATAAAAAAAACAATATTAAAATACATATTATTAATATTTTAATTACTTAAATTCAAGTATAAGCTATATATTTATTTGCAGCATAAAACATAAAGCAATTAAAATGATATAGATTGCTAGTTTCAACAAATTATGAATTCCTAAGAATGAGAAAGTTCATTGATTTCAGCACATCCTAATAAAATACTAATTTTACTATTTTATTTTTGAATGTAAAAAATTTGCTATCCAATTAAATAAAATATGATATAAAAATATATGTTTACACACACACACACACATATATATATATATATATATATATATATATATATATATATATATTATAAAACTATGTTTTAATTTAAAATGAACTTAACTTTTATGACTAAATCTATTTCAATTCTTTATCTATTTCAAGATAACATTTATATCAAGAAACTACACAGCGCGAAGTATTACGCTAAGGTTTAAAAATGACATGATTTAGTTTACAAAACACAGCTGATACAGAAAAGATCGCACACTCATCAAGGAGTTAATGAAGAACGCCCTGATTCCCTTCATTTGCTCGAGTATCAGCACCGATCCAGTCAACATCATTACCAGTCCACTGGTAATGAGACACATCGGCAGACAGACAATTGCCGATCTAACCTGCATCACCAACCTCACCGGTCCTGCCAATATCCAGCCCGCATCATACTAATCCGATTCTAACCACAGCGCACCGGTGAGGCTCTTCAAAGCTTAGGGCCAAATCAGGATGTTTTCTGATTCTAAGGTAATGAAAATTTTCAGAGCACTTGTCATATTAACGAAGACATTGGATACCAACAAGACGTACAATGAATAATACACGTAAACCACTCGCGAGACATAAATTAAATGCATTCAAATTTGAACTGAATTGAAAAAACGTAGACGAACTGAGACAGAGGCAATAACAAAATACGACCTGGACAATGTACTGATAAATAAAACCTACCCTGTCAGCGGATGGTTCTGAAAAAACCGTCATCGGCGTGTATAATAGAGATCATAAAATGATTAGCATTTCAATTATGTTTATTTATCTATGCACATGTCTGCTAAACATCATTATAATGGACATAAGGTACTCGACTCAAAATCATCTTCATTAAAAAAGATCAATTGTGCCCATAATTATGAAAGTGGTCTAAGTCAAAATTTAAAAAAAATGAGTTTATCATTTATTTCATACCACATTAGTTTAAACTAAATGTATTCAATGTAATTTTTACGAAATTGTCAAAAATGAACCATTAGATAGTGGTTGTAATTTCAACATTATATGGAATTCATTTAGTGTTAATTATGATAGTGGTCTAAGTCAAAAATTTTTTATATCAGGTCATTCCTTTCTACCGAATGATCGTGATTTTGGGTTGATAGAAATGAAAATAAAAAAAGCAAATTGCTTATACAACCCTGAGCATTATTATGAAATGATAGAAAAGTGCAGAAGAAGCAATACATTTTCGATAAAGCGAATGTCGCAGCCGGATTTTATTTCAACGAAATCATTAGAAGATACATCAATAACAAGAATAGTAAAAAATACCGCGGGCGAATCTGTCTCTTGGCTACAAATTCAATGGATGAGGTTCTTGAAAAATGAACCTTATAAAAATTGTTATGTTTTATAAAACTTCTTTAGATGATTCTACATTTCACGTTTTGGATCTTTCACCTAAAAGAGAAAGACCAATAATATACGGAAATATTAAATTACTTCCATTATACACCATCATTAGACCAGTATCGGAAGAAAAACAAAGATATTATGAGTTTACTACCGTACATCCCTCCAGTTTTTCAGGAACATTTTAAGAATCTTAAATACTCGAAATAATGATAAAAATGGATTACCGTTTAAAAATAATTAATAAATGCTCACGAATTATTTCAATAAAATTATTGTTTCAAATAAAACTCAAAGTTTTTTATTGCTTTAAGTCATTTATAGGATATTCAGTTAATTTTCAAAATGGTCTAAGTCAATTCGACCTTTAAAAACAATATTATCGTATGAAATTCACACAAAATTTCATATTCATAATAAATTTCCATTAATTAAGACTAATAAAATTAAAAATCAAAATGTCGCATAATGTAAAAATATTTTTTAATTTATTCAAATGCAAATCATTAAATATCTCGAAACAAGAAATATATGACTTAGACCACTTTCATAATTATGGGCACAATTTGAGTCGAGTATTAGCAGAGGAGACTTCAATGCACAACGCACGTAATAGGGAACTGTAACCATAGATTTAAATTTCGATTTTAAAGAATTGTATTTTTGTTATTTCTTTGTACATAGTTTACAATAATGTTATTAATTTATATATACCTATCTTATGCGATATTACTATATTTCATATATTGTATATTTAAAAATAAATACTTAGAATTAGTTAAATAGGGGTACCTACATGATAGAGTTATTTAATGAGCAAAAATTCCTGGTTGAAAAAAAACTCATGACATAAATGTACTGTAACCAATGATCAGTATGTAAAACTATAACAACGCAAACGGACCGGACTCTACGAATATCTGACCTAAAACAACACCAGGACGCGCAGCTGCACTACCCGGACACACCGACCAGCTACGCCACAGTACCAACGCACCATCGCAGTACAATGGCCTTGGCGCTTACAAAAATCTTTGACTACTCTAGAGCTAACCAGACACTTTTCAAAAATCCGACTACAGATAACAGACGATACGCGATGCAACTCAAAAACAATATAGATATTGATGAGGATGATGCTATGAAACACTTCCTGAACGATATGACGCCATACAAAAGATTATAACGATACGATACGAATAAAACTGAAAAAAAAATAGGATAAAGAAGCTGTAGGAAAACACTGATGACCGACTATCAGAGGAAGACGTAACAAGCTGACAAAAATTATGTCTAACAAAATACATAAACACCCGAACGAATTTTGGAGGAACATGTTGAAAAAAAATTAGCACAGATCAGACAGCAAAAAGACCTCAAAAGACAACCTACACAAATACGAAAACAAAGCTCAAACACGTGGATTTGACTGAGACGAGATGTAAATGAAATTATACAAAATTCTGCCGAATAATACAAAACGTCGACTCACGCATGGACCTAACCACAGTTTTAGAAAACAAAAAAATAATTAACAGACTACCTAACAGAAAATCACAAGTTTCAGTTCTGCACATCATGGTCGACCAGGCATCGTGCCTTAAGGCGAATTGCTAGAACTTCCCGTACCAAAAAATTAAATTTTTTAAAAAAATTTTTTTTTAAACTTTGAAAAAATTAGATTTTTAAGAAATTTTAATTTTTTGAAATAAAAATATTTTTTTATTTTGAAATATTTTTAACCTTTTTTCAAAGCTATCGCCCTAAATATTGAAAATATCAAAGCGCCGCGTCGCTGTCCGAAACCCACAGAAATAAAAACAAAATTTATACGTATTATTAAAATCTCTATAAAATATCTGATAATTTGATGTGCATATATCTAATGATCATTTTTGATGTTTTTTGAAAGGCTAGTTCTGCCTTTGCTGAAAACTAATCAGCACGTCTCCTTATCAATAGAAATTGAACGTTTTTTGAATCATTGAAATCGGTTGAACCGTGTTCCCGAAATCGTCGACCAAAATTTGTATCCGAACACACACACACACACGCTCACACATACATCCATTTTTTTTAACAATAAGGTATGCCAAAATATTCAGAAACCAATTTACGATTTTTTGCTATCACTATAACTTACCCTACAGGAAGTTAAAAACGAAAATTGAACTTGTTCCTCTGTAAGCTTCAAATTTTTATACAATGTAATTTATTAATTGGAAAATTCAAAAATTAAACTGCCCGATCATTTCAACCTGCACAAGTACTTTCTAGATGAGCCGAAAGGTTTACTTTTGTGAACAAGATGTATGCGTTAAAATAAACTTTGACTTGTGAGGTAAAATTTACTCAAAGGGTGTGGGCGTGTTTCCTTATGTGTTTGTTTATAAGCGATTTTAAAAAGATGTGTAATGCCGGGCGATTCTGTCCAGCCTAAGCCCTTACTAGGCGAGGGAAAAGATACTTAGGCGGGAGCGCAAGTAAAATTAATCAATCAGGCATGACGTGAAAACTAATAGAATATGAGTAAATTATATTATGTAAAAATTTAACTAGTGGTATATGGTATCGTACCTTAAGGCAAATTGCTCGAACTTTCCGTACCGTAACGAAATGTTCGAGGAATATTAAATGTTTACAAATAGATTATTACTAGCAAACCCGACGAACTTCGTTTCGCCACCAGATGGTTTGTTTGTTTTTTTTTATAATTGATAAAGAAAAATTTGATCTTATACAACAGTAATGAATTTATTTTGATTACAAAAATGAAGCGTTTTTTAGTTGAATTTTTCTAAGTAAATAAAAGTGAATCCGCAAATTATCCGTTTCATTGAAGTGCTCTTTGGTAAACCACATTTTTTGTTTTTTGGTATGACGTTAACACAAACAAAGCGGATGGTTTTCCAACTCGTGAACAGGCAACGTATAACTGCCCATGTGCAAAACAATGATTTTTTAAATAATCTATTTGAAATTTATCCCGCAAACACTAAGCGATTGGCCTTGCGACTTGTTATTGCGAACGCAAGGCAAACTGGAAATTGCAATCGTTTGAAGTCAAACGGAAGACCAGTCATAATCATTGGTATGTCACCAAATCGCCAGCAATTTTTGATTGAATGGTGAAATTCAGTGCGTGTACATCATTATTCTTTGGGGCAAGAATTGCTCGTTGACTTAACCAAGCATAATTCTGATAATCTCACTAATGTCATTACTCGAATTTTCAATTACGGTGCGTGAAGTTCCAGCAGCTTGCATTAAGGCACGATGCCATGCACAACAAATTTTCTTAGCTATAAACCTTGCTGAGCCCGAGACCTTTCCAGCGAATGCAAAATTGTTGTAATCGGTGCGTGTTACAGCTGGAGTTATTTCGTCAGGAAAGAAAACCCGACTTATTTTTATATATATATAGAAGATAATCTATTTGTAATTATTTAAAACAATTGTTGATTATTTTTATTACTCGAATTTTTAATTACGGTGCATAAAGTTTCAGCAGCTTGCATTAAGGCACGATGCCATGCACCACTAATTTTCTTAGCTATAGCCCTTGCTGAGCCCGATACCTTTCCAACGAATGCAAAATTGTCGAAATCGGTTCGTGCGTTCTGGAGTTATTTCATCAGGAAGGAAAACTCGACTTATTTTTATATATATAGAAGAAGAAGATAAATATTGTAACATTGTCTAATATTTCTAAAAATTATATAAACAGAATTGCAAAGTCGAAATTATTTGTTTAAAGTATATCAGAACTTTAGTCAGAATTAAAATTAAAATCTGAATTATTTTTGATATACAAAAAAAAATCTTGTAAAAAAAATTGAAACAAAAATATTTTTACCAAAAGCAATTATTTTGTCAAAACAAGTAAAAAGTTTTTTGAATCATTCAAATCGGACGCTTAGTTCTCCCAAAAACTGCCATTTTTTGCACATTTAACTCTGTATCTTTGAAATGGCTAGACTTGCCTTTGCCAAAAACTAATAACCACTTCTCCCAATCATTACAAATTGAATGTTTTTAGATCATTCAAATCGGACACTCCGTTCTCTCAAACTCTCGACTTTTTTTCTGCACTCTTTGCTCTTTATCTCCGTAACTGCTGGACCTGCCTTTGTCAAAAACTAATCAGCACACCTCCCTATCAATAGGAATCAAATGTTTTTTTAACCATTCAAATCGGTTCCTTCGTGTGCCCGAAAACGTGGATGAAAAAATGCGGACACGCAAAACACACATACACATCCATTTTTTCTGAGGTATGCCAAAATGTTCAGAAACCTTCAAAACGTGAAGATGTGCAAAAAAATTTATTTTAGATTTTCAATCCATTACTATAACTACCCCACTAGTGCAGTAAACGGAGAGAGAAAAAGGGTATAACCTCTGAATTTTATTACTGTGCTCCGAATTGAATGAAATTTTGGAATTAGGTTCATCTTACCCTCAAGTTCAAAAATGAAAACAATTCGGGTTGCGTCATCACCCCCTGGGGGGTGACACCCCTTCTCAATTGTGAAATTACATTTTTTCAAAATCGATAGAAGAACTAATTATAAGAAAAAAATATCTTTTATAGTTTTTCAAAAAACCTAATACTTTTCAAGTTACTGGCCAATAAAGATTCATATATTTTTGGCGTTTTCTTCGTTTTTTGCAAATATCTCCTAAAATATACATTTTAACGAAAATCATGTAATAAACAAAATAATGTCAATAAAAATCTTAATAAATCGATATTACATAATGTGTTCTAGGAAAAGTATTAAGCAAGATTTGAAAGAGCAAAGTCGTTTTCTATTTCGTTCAAGATTTAATTGTTGTATTAAAAGCCATCTAGTGTCGAGGTTTTATACATTTTATGCATTTCGGTGAAATTGGGTTTTATTGTGCTTAACATAAGCTTTAAAATGAGTGATGTTACAAGTTTTTTGCGTGTAAAATGAGTGAGCTATCATGCAAATAAGAAGCATATACGAAGTTTTTTTCTTTTAAATCATATGGTTTAATGAGCGCCATTTCCACCAGAATTAAAGTAATTCACATTCCATCTAGAATTCACCTCATTATAGACATCTTGATGGATTCTAGCAGATTCACTACTTTAGTACAAACTATTTTCAGAAAACTCACGATTTTATAACAACTTTTTTTTCAAATTTTTTTAAAAATCAAAATTATTTTCATTATATCTCAAAAAGAATAAAAGATACGTATAAAAGCATATAGATAAAAATCAAAGGGATCTTTCTGGCTTATTTTTGTTTTTTATTATTATTCTTTCACACAAAAATTGACAGAGTTATGAATGTTTAAAGACTGCGCGGCCGCGCAAATTGGAAAAAAAAAATTTATAAAATCGTGAGTTTTGTGAAAATAGTTTGTACTAAAGTAGTGAATCTGCTAGAATCTATCTATTTTTTCATTTCCTTCTAAGTAAATTTTACATTTTATTGCAATTAATTAAATCAATTTTAACCATAATATCATTTTTAAATTAAAGCATTGCTCGCTCAGGTTTAATTCACGCCAGTTTGAAGACCTAACTGTAACTGTCAGTCGGAGTTCGGTGAGCACACGAGCGCCGCCGTGATGATTTGTAACACCAGCCGCGTCGCCTCAGTGTCCGTTCTGGTAACACTCAGGTCGGTCCGTGCCAGTCCTATACGTATTCAGTTGTTCTAGAAATGGCGTCGCGTGCGTGCTCACCCGAACGTGAGTCGCTAATAAAACGACGTAAATTTGACATTAGTGAAAAAGTAAGAGATCGGTGTGAAAATTCATCTTTCGTCAATTATTGTGGAGTTTGTGATGGCAGTCATGATCAGTGCAAAGGTAATTTTCTTAATGAAAAATGCAATTAAAAGTTTTCTTCAAGATGGCTGTCCGTAGCGCCCAACTCTCTTGAGCATTTCAAAATGTGTTACCACAATGCCAAAATTACGCACCCTTGACAGATGGGAAATTAATGGCGGACAAAGAATACATCTCAATAAATTTAAGTTTTTTATTTAAGTCTCCGAGTCCGGACATCGTTCTGTAATGTAACAAGTATGAAATAAATTTACTCACTTAATTTAATTTTACAATCGCACAGATTTACACACAGTCGGTACTACGAACTGCTCGTTGACAGATGAAACACTTAATGGCGGCTTTCTAAACATAAATAAACATGAATGAAAATATGGTATTGTTGTTACTTATCTTAAATATATGAAACGAATGTATTTTTATTTGGTTCTGTTTCATGTTATACCTCTTAATCCAATATTTACGTGTAAATTTTCAATTTTTTTTTCAAATATAAAAGAACACTACATAACTTTATTTTTTATAATATAGAACGTTCTTTACTAATTTTATTTACCTTTACAGATAAGGACTCGGTAGCGCCTTCCTAATCCTCAATTTTCATAAAACTATGTATCACTATTCAACTCTGATATACAGGCTAAACATAAATCATTTTCCACATTATTTCTATATTTGTGAAATAAATTTTGAAATAGTTAAATTGTGTTTGACTCTATTTCATATTATACTTTTTTTTTTCATATAAGGTAACAAATATTACAGTGCTTGGTTTACCTTTAAAAATGAAAGCGTTTTGGTTTATTACACCATTAGTATTGTTTACTATTATAAATAAATAATGATAGAATTATTCACATTAAATTCTCATTCAAAGTTCAATTTTGCACTTAATAAGAGTAATTATGAATGAATAATGTGTGCACTTAGGTTCATTTTGTTCTAAACAAAAATTTAAGGCTATACAGCTTTTTATTTGTTAATCAAAATAGTATTTTTTATATAAAAAAATTACTTACTATATTAATAATAAATGTAACATCGAGTAATTTTTTTTTCTAAATGAATATTTATATTTAATAAATAATTTTCGATTTGTTTTTTCCTATTGAGACTAAATCTCGTTTTCTATTCAAGTTTCTTTCTTATAAAGCAAGCAATACATTTTTTATATATTAGTTATCCAATAATTTCCTAAATTAATTGAATTTTCAATTCAAATTGCCTGAGGATTTTTTGTACATAAGTTTATTTTTGCCAGTCTTATTAAAAATATGAATCTAAATAATTTTGAAACCAAGTTTGATGATACACCTGTTTTAAAAGTTGTACTCTTTTCATATACTAGTTTGAAAACGCTTAATGTATTATCATAATACTTTCTTTTAAAACATTTTATTAACAAGGCTACCATTATTATTAATTTTACTCATTTTTTGACAGCTGAGAATCTATAGAAGTCTTGGAAATGACATGAATCTGCCTTTTTTGACTTTTTCGTGTCTAAAAATACAGCATTTTATTTAATTTATTAACTTAATCATTTTATAATGTAACATAATTTATGTAATTCAATCTAATTGTCAAATAATTTTAAATTGTATTTAAAATTTGTCAAGTATTTGAATAAATTGACATAACATTAAAATGTTATTTTAATTTTGACAGTGTATTTTTCATGCGTTTATGGTTTTCTATATTAATTTAGTAGATTAACTATAAACAAATGGGCAAAACTATCATTCATTCATATTTTAATGAATCAAATAGTTTTCTAAAAAACTAATTAGATAAAGTGTTTCTGTTCAATATGATTTTATTGATTTAATGATGTTAAAGAGCTAGTAATGAAGTTTATATTATTGAATGTCGAATTACTTCGTATTTGTTGAATTAGCCAGATATTAACAAGATTTTGAAATTGTGTTTAGTTCTGTGTTTATTTTTCTCCGATATTTAATATAGTGTGGTTTTGTTCAAATAATGATCGTTATTATTCATTATGAAACATTTACATATTAACAAATACATATACAATTTAACCCTTATCACTTGGCACTGATTTATAAATAACATACTAGCAATTCGGTGCCGCATTTTGACTAAAACATACCTCCTGCACACTTGATATCGTGCATGTTATGCAATTTGTTTGATATGAATTGAATATGATGGACATTGAAGAACATACATTTACAATGATATCTAAATTTGTTTTCTTCAGCATGTTATAGTTTAAAATAATTTCCAAATGGGGTTGATTCCAGTGGTTCTAATTTATTAGCGCGGTGACAGTTTTATCATCGCCAAGAAAAGTGCAATATATTGTACACACACACATATATATATATATATATATATATATATATATACGAGGTCTGTTCAAAAAGTACCCGGAATTTTCGTTTTTTCAAAAAAATATTTATTTATTCGTCTACATTAATGTGGTCCCCTTCAAAGTAGTCCCCCCCAGATATAATACACTTATGCCAGCGTTTTTTCCAATTTTCGAAGCACCCTTGATATTCACTTTTTGATATGTCCTTGAGCACTCTCAGCGATTTTCTTCAATCGAGGAAAACCGCCGTCCTTTCATGGGTCTCTTCAACTTTGGGAATAGGAAAAAGTCACACGGAGCCATATCTGGTGAATTTTTGCACTTTGCAACACTTTATTTCATTTTTTACGCAAAATTTAATACAAATTCTTTGACTTTTCAATTCTTCCATTGTAAAAATCGCCGAGCTCAGAAAAACACGTCGAACCTTAGCGACCACCACAGACAAAGTAAACAGTGAATATAGCTGAAAATTTCATCATACTTTAGGGGCATGTATACCAACACAATAAAAAAAAAATTTTGACAATCAGACACTCCGCGAAATTTAATTATTAGTAATTCCGGGTACTTTTTGAACAGACCTCGTATATATATATATATGTGTGTGTGTGTGTCTTTTGTCTTTTTTATTCGAAATGTTGCTTTACCGTTTTTAGAAAAAAAGATAATATAATAAAGGGTAAACCATACTTTAAAAATAAGTACTGGTAAATATTGAATACTGTCTTATCGCTGCATAAATTTATTCTAATATAAGAATGAGTAACCTTTTCAACTCACGGGCCGCATTTAATTATTAAAATTGTATGGCGGGCCGCACTTGTTAATAATGTACAGCTTGATATATATTAATAATTATTATATAGATATACTACTACTAAAAAATATTTCATAAATTAATGCAACAAGAAAAAAATACATCAATAATTAATTTATTGATGAAGAAAGTTGATGAAATAAATAAAATTCTACTTTAGAAATGCTTGGCGGGCTGCACAAAAATATTTGAAGGACCGCATGAAGCCCGCCGGCCGCGGTTTGCTCATCCTTGATCTATTCTATTATTCTATTCGACGCTTCAAAACGAACTGAGTCATTGTGTATACAAAACTACCGAATGCCGAGGAGATAGACGAGCGCGCAGACAGGCTTACGTTGTCCCTTCAGGGGAGACAGCCGAGTGGAAAGAGTTAAAAATGAATGTTTTAATAATATCAATATATCCGAATGGATATTTTTTAATATAGAAATAAATGATAGAATTAACATCTTAATAAGTAATTCAAATATCAGTAACCAGATGTTACAATTTCTAATATCTGTATACACTTTTTTTCATTTAAATACCTAAATATAAATATTTAAATATTAAATCGATATTTTTTGATACATTAAAGATAAATGTTATTACATTTTAATTTTTTGAACTTCTTGGCTTTTAAATGCTTCCGCTTTCTGTGCTTCGAATTTCAGTTTCTTCCTGTATTTTCTCTTCTTGTGCAAATTGTTATGGCAACGCTATGTTTCGGTCTAACCTAAAAAACTCAAAAGCGCCAAAAAATAGAATGTTATTATAACTGCATCTTTCTTAATATGTCATGATAACACATACGTGAAGTTAGATTTTATGTGTAAAACACTTGATCGCACAGCAAATACATAGCATTTTGACAGTTTTTACTACCAATTTATATGAAGAAAGGAGCGTAACATAGAGTTTCCATAATAATGATATGTTACAATCTATTTTATCCGAAAATTTGACCCCTTAGTTTATATGCGGACGTGCATGCTAAATTGCCACCCGAAGCGAACTTGTATTTGGGTCGCTTTACAGACAAGCTGCGACTTCTCGAGCGTACCTCAATTCAATACCTGATGTCAGTGCTTCCGGTTACCAGTCAATTTAGTTGAACCATTTTGTCATTTCCAAATATTCGTTTTCCAATCCCTACCATTTATACAAACAAATTATGAAATATCTATACTGTTCAATTAAATTATTTTATATTTTACCGCAGATAAAAAATTCTATACGCACTTACCATCGGTGCTTGCATTTTCGTAATGAGAAAGTAAATTATTGTAAATCGAGAGATTTGCGACAGTTTGTTATTTAATTTTGTTTTAAAATAAATATTCGCGTTCGAAAGCCAATTTTTACAGATGGCCTACTATTCATTTGTTTTGAGTAAACCTTGTCAAATATACTTGACAAACAAAAACAAATATTTACAAATATCTATTTTTCTAATCGAAATATTTTACTAATAAATAATAATAATATTTTTATATTTCTGCAAATATTTCTACCAAATTTTGATTTGGTATTTATTTGATATTTATTTTTGTGTAATAATGGGTATATATACAAGTAAGTACTTTTTTAAAGTTATACTTTTAATTTGACTTGCAAACGTTTGCGTTACATTGTATCATTATCAAATTAAGGGAACAGTCACGACTGTAATTTAGAAAGGTCATTCAAATTGAGACTAAGCAAGTGAATGTGACTTCTTACGTTAAAAAGTATAACTTTTTTCGCGCGGAGGGACTCCATACACTATTATTATTATTATAATTATAAAGTTTTATATGATTCAATTCGTTTTAGCTTTGAGACAATCGTAATAGAAGAATGTTATTGTTTTGTGTAAATCAATTTATTTATTGTTTACCTTTTTCTCTGAAATAATTTATTATATGTAGGTCTGATATGAACTTAAGTTTTTAGGTCTGATATGAACTTAAGTTTTAAGTTACATGAGATTTACAGATGAGTTGATTGTATCGTATAAATTCGTCTCAGTATTATTACTTATAATTACAATAATATTATCTTTTGAAATGATAAAAGAAAGAAAGTCGTCTTTATTGCTTGTATAAGATTTATCTTGACCAGCAATTTAATTTTATTTAACTTGAACAGCAATTGACTCCTGAAGAATTATTTGAATTAGTTATTGAAATTGTGAGTAGTTATTGAATTAGGTTTAGTACTATATTTTCTACAACATTTGCATATCTTTTCGGCCGCAACAAAAAATTATATTTATCTGCATGTTTTGAAGGTTTCGCATCGTTCTCGAAAGATTCAGACAGAATGTAATTCTGTAAGTGCGTCTCCATTCCTGTTTATTTCAAAATATTTAAGACGTAATTTGTGAATAACATATATTATATAAAAGGTATCTAAAAATTTTCTCGTGTTTAACTTTGACTATTGCAAGTTTCCAAGATTACCAGTCACTCAATGATTGTTTTGAATTTTGCGATACATTGATAAATCTTGTATATGCTTACATTCATACTCTTCTCTTATCTATGCTTACATTTATATAAACTTTCAGGCGAATCGGAGTTCAACTGTGACTCTGGTTTTACTGATGTCCCTCACATGCGAGATTCCGCAGAGTTCATTCAGTCTTCAGACAATCACAGCTATTCAGGAGAAGATAATTCCGACGATGCCTCCAGTGACAACTCAAACTTATCCAATATATCTGGTATGAACTGGAAACCCATGGCTGGATCCCTGAACTGGGTAAGTTGAAATTGTGTGAAATCGTCACATCGGAAATCTAATTTTTAACATATATGCAGATACAAAAAAAGATGATAACTGGAGCAAATCCTAGAGATGTCTTGAATCAATTGTCGCTAACTACTGATAAAGATTTGTCTAATATTGACGACATGAGTCTTTGGCGAATATTGATCAACATGTTCTCGGAACCTCCTAGGAGGGAGAAGTTGAGCAAAGTAAACACACTGGAAGACGTTATCGGACTTCTCAAATCATCCAAAAATATAATTGTCTTGACAGGTAGTAAAAAGAAAAAAAATCGTAATTTAGAATAAACGACATTTGATTGCGGCTTTTTATTATAAATGTGTCAATTTTGTTTTATTCCAGGTGCTGGTGTATCAGTATCCTGTGGTATTCCCGATTTTCGTTCCCGCGATGGAATCTATGCCAGATTAGCTGTTGATTTTCCAAATCTTCCAGATCCACATTCCATGTTTGATATAAATTACTTCTTTAAAGATCCCAGACCATTTTATAAATTTGCCAGAGAAATTTATCCAGGACAATTTAAACCTTCACCATGTCACCGCTTCATCAAACTTTTAGAAAAGCACAATAAACTTCTTAGAAACTATACACAAAACATAGATACTTTAGAACAAATAGCAGGGATAAAAAATGTCATTGAATGCCATGGATCATTTGCTACTGCCAGTTGCACACGTTGTAAAACAAAAGTTACAGCAGATGATATAAGGGAAGATATATTTAAACAAAGAATTCCATTCTGCAAATTATGCCAGTTTTCTGACACAATGACCACGGATGATAATCTTGATGATCCATCACATTCAGGTAAACTTTAAAATTTTATATATGAAGCATATAGATCTATCTGCAATTATATAATTATTGAAGTTTGGGAAAATTTGGACATAGTTAACTTCTTGATGGATAAACTTGTTTTCTTCAGATAATCTGATTTGATAAATTTTATGTATTTTCGTTTCTTTAAGTCCTTGTTAATTGTTTAATACCAAAATTGAAAAAGATATGTGTGGAAATGCTTTTTTTCTGTATAGTGAAGGCGAAATACTTTTACATGTGCTGGGCTTAGATGTTTCTCCTGGCTATGTTCGATTTAATAATAATAATAATACCGACAATACTCCATTTAGCTACTGCTCATTTAAGTCTATGAGGGCTTTTCTTGCAAATATGCTGGAAGCGTTCCAAGTTATCCTCAATATTGTCAGCACTTTCAATAGACAATTTGTTGTAATTCTCTTTATAAACGCCATCTTTACATTATCACGTTGCGCACTAAACTGTGGTCACTCAAAAAAACATGATTTGCATTTTCAATGTCTCCTGAATAAGACTATTTAAAAACCATTGAAAGATATCAGTTGGGAATCTTGCTAATTATTTAATAATTAATGTTTGATAAAGTTCATCAGAGCCATTTCTCTGTAAATAGCAGTTCAAAATTTTTTTTTACGATTTTGATGAAACTTTGTATGATGATAGAATATATGGTTTTAAAGAACTTCTTATGTAATAGTGGGCTCTGTAAAAAATTCCAAATTTTTTCTTCACAACTTTAAAAGTTGCTAAATCTTAATTCTTATTGATTAAGTTGATTATTTACACATATTGGCAAGTTTCGGCTCTCATTATTAAATTCACCCAGAATAGACGGTTTTAACTGTACGTATGAAACTTTTGAATATAGTTAAGTTTTTCAAATTCAAAATTTTCTATTACTGAATTGAAATATTCTTATTTTGAAACTTGTTTCACAATGTTTTTATGCAGTTGTAGAAATTTTAGCAAATTGCTTCCTTGTGTATATGTCACTTATCATTTCTGTTATATTATTGCACTGAATCGTTCCAATGAATGTACTAAAATTAAACTAACTAAAAATGTAATTTTCAGGAATAACAGAAAAAGGTATCATGAAACCTGACATAGTATTCTTTGGTGAAGGTT